GGGCTTTGACATTGGCTCATTTCTTCATTGTATTGCTCTTTATGGATGTTTTTCTCGGTGCATTAGTACTCTCTGCTTGTGACACGACTACTGGCACAGCTGTGTGATTTCGCTTTTATGGATATTGCTCACACTCATATTCCTTGCAATTTGGTATCGGAGCTGGTTGTGATCGCCGCTTACCTGGCACCGGTGACATTGTGACTTGGTGCGCTGACGATGCTTCATGTGCAGTGAGGATACTTTGCGCTGGTTGATTAGTGGGGCCTAGGTAGAGAGGCTGGCCGCTGGAAGGCTGTGGCGACAGCGTGGGAGCTGTGGCGGCAGCGGGTGTATGCATGATGATGAGAGTATGCTGACGTGGCATTTTGGCTGAGGTGGCACTGCATTACGTTGTGGGTGGTACCGAGGCTATTGACCGGTCATCGAAATGCACGTCGGCCCAATTGGTGAGAAATCTGTGGTTGGGGGCCAGCTATCTCCAGGTACATTGTTCCCATTCCTTATCTACCCTCTCAATCTCTTCTTACCGTGAGGAAGTGAGTCCAACTTGAGTGTCCTCTCTTTGGTGAGGAGTCGTGTGCGCTCTATCTTGAGAGACAACATTCTTCCCGGTGGCGCATCTGGCAGGAGAGGGCGGTGCCTCTGAAGGGCCCTGGTCGAAGCATGGGTCACGGTCACCATGCCAACCCATGGGTATTAGTACACGCAGGCCATGTTGCTTTGTCAATTGAGGCTCTTTGCTGCGCTGATAGAAGGGGTGTGCGGACTGACCAGTCCTATTGAGACGCTCCCAGACCGTCTATAAACATTTCTGGTTGGGGTCTGAACTGTCCACTGGCTGTGATCGTCGTCCTGATTGCGACGTTAAAGAATTCCTGAGGACTCCAGGGGCTGTCCTTAAATTGCCTCTTGATCAGCCAGATCAGTCAGACGTAAGGCTCGTTGCACGCGAGGGTAAACAAAGGGGCAGGCTGGTCATAAGCATACCTCTTGGGCACAGGGGTGGCCCGTGGTTGCACACCTTAGACACCGCAGCTTGATGATGCTCGCAGGTACGTTGGATACAGGGGAAGGGGATTCCAATTGTGAACTCAACTGTACATCACTACCATATCCATTGTGCTTACATCTGCTCACATTAGTCTAGGTTTTTATTTTGATTATTTGGTTGACCGACTGCTGACACCTAACAAACAGATTAGAGTAGGACTGTAATCTACCATAGTCAGTTCTTCTCGAATTTTCTGTGCAGACTAATCAGAATAGAGTTAGACAATGTATACAGTTTGTGTGGATGTTGTTGATGCCGCTTGACTAGTAGACTAGGTAACTCGCCGAACATTTATTTAATTATTTATTTTTAGATCCGGTCAGACGCATGCTGCGGTAGGTTCCATCGAGGACATTAGTGCAGACAGTGTCTGCCTAACCTATAAGTGGATCAAAGGGTGGTGAAGGTGCAAATGACGATAGGAGGATAACAAGGCTATCATCCCTTAGAATTCCTAGAGTGTTTCAGGCTCTACAATCGGAAGAAGAGAGAAGATTAAGGGCTGAAGCTAGGGCCCGTAATCTTGAGGCTGTAAGGGAAGCAGCGGTAGCAATGACTACTTCCGCAGCAACTGCTGCAAACTCAACTGGTCAAGGGCTAGGCATGTCGTCCAGTTCACAGTCTATCTCCAGTACGTCAGGAGCTGGCACTAGTCAGATGGTGGGCTCGCAGTTCAGCTCGCCGCCTCCACGCACCCAGGAGCAGATGGAGTTCCAACAAGTGGAGAGGATCCGCTTAAGGCTAGAGGAGGAACTTAGGCAAGCTACTAAGAGAGAGAACGGAATCAAAGAGAGACGTGTTAGATTAGAGGGCAGGGAGGCAGACATGGCTGCGCTAGAGGCATTAGAGGACTCTGCCCTAAACACTACAGGAAAGATCCTGAAGGCAAGTGTCATATCCATGCATGCGTACATAGACAGCAAGATGGACGCAATGCAGGATACCCTAGACCAGATTTTGCAAGCGCTGCATAAGCCAGGGATCCGGCCAGCAGCTTTACCATCGCTGCCACTCTCAGCGATGATAGGCCTCTATGCCGCTCAGTCTACACCACCACCAAGTGTTACATCAACAACAACTCTATCTCAGACTGTTGCTTCTTCATCTTCTGGTCCATCAACTGTTGCTACACCATAGTCGCCACCTATCTCGCAAGCGGGACAACAATATCCTTGGAATCCCAAGACCCCACTGAACCCACCTTCAACCTTCTCAGGAGACAAGAAGGATGAGGCTCTCGACACATGGTTGAGAACGGTGCCAGTGTGGGTGAGGGCGAAAAGGACTATGTTAGAAGAGGAAGTGATTACTGCTGCATCCTACTTAGAGGGTTCAGCAGCCCGTTGGCTAAATGGATTGGTAGCTTCAAAGGGTTTCAGCAGGAACATGCATGATTGGGCGCAGACCCACACCTTGGAGAGCTTTATGGACTTAGTGGAGGCTCGTTGGCACAACCCTCACCAGGCACAGATTGCCGCTGATGGGCTCTTAAAGCTTGATACTAAAAAGTACAAATCTGTGCGAGAACTCACCACAGTCATAGAGCGCCTGATCGTCGTCCCGGGAGTGGAGTACAATCCACAGGTCTTGCTGACCATGTTCCTGAGATGTCTTCCCACAGACATTATTAGCCAGCGAGGCTCGACGCGAGTATCACACATTTGAGACATTCAGCAAGAAGGCCCTAGACTTAGAGGCTACGTTGGGTGACGCTCAAACCCCTACTACGGACGAGAGAAAGAAGAAGACTCCACAAGAGTGGAAGAAGAAGGGTAGTCGATTGATGATGATTGATTCCGATGAGAACCAAACCGAGATCGATGATGTCTCCGAACTTGTGGAGGGTTCAAAGTTTGGCGGTGAGGAGATTGCTGAGGGTAGCAACCTCGCCGCCGCAGTTAAGACTAAGGCAAGTGGCCGCGGGAAGGGCGGTCAACAAAGGAGTCAGGGGCAGGCCGCTAACCCAAACAAAATAGCTGCTTGGGTTAGAGCAGGTCTGGATCAAGATGTGTGGCGGGACCGTTGGTTTCGTGGTGCTTGCATTAATTGCGGTGAGTACGGTCATACGTAGTTCAAATGAAAGAACCCGAAGGTCTCGCAGAAGATCCCTCCTAAGGGTGGGTTTTCTTCTTCTCAGTCTGGGGCCTCTACGAGCTCCAGCTCGGCAAACACTTAGGGTCAGTAAAAGTTATGGCTGCTTCTACTCTCGTTGAAGCGAGTGATGTACCCTCCCCGTTTCAAGAGATGGCCAAAGCTATTGACTCCTTAGTCGCCCCTCAGACGCATCCGGACCCAACTATACTCTGTACGTTGGGTGTGTCTGAGGCCTTAGAGGACCTTCAAGGTGAGTGGTCGGTAAGGGACCCTCGTGAGTCCTGGGTGGCACTGAGTAGAGGTCCTAGAGGGGAACACTTCGTTGTGGAAGTCGATGTGGGTGGTCGCAAGTGCGGTGCCTTCGTAGACATTGGCTCCACGCGAAACTTCATAAGTCGCGACTGCGTTGACAGACTCTACCTAAAGGACCGGGTGCAGCGCCTTAGTAGACCGGTAGCATCTACTTTGGCCAACAAAGAGCGCATGATGGTGGAGGACTACGTTAAAAATGTAGTCTGCACCTTCTCCTACCCAGGAGGAGAGATAAACCATAAGATATCATTCCTGGTGAGCGACGAATTGCCCTTTGACATGTTGTTGGGCATGTACTACCTCGAGGTTGCCAAGCCCCAGTTTGACTGGGACAAGAAGGTGTTGAAGCACGAGTTGCCTAGTGGGAGAACCGTGAGACTGGCCAAGTACAAAGCCAGCAGGTTAGTAGACTCCTATGGGTGCTTATGCGCATCTGCCTTCTATAATTATTATAAACAAAACCAAGAGGAAGGAATGTACTTGGTCTATGTCTCTGCAAAAGGGGGGCCCGTTAAAACACCCCCAGAGATAGAGACCATCGTCGCCAAGTACCCTGATCTGTTCGAGGAGCCTAAATGAGTCGTAGACAGGGAGATTGTCCATGCCATAGAGATCATCCCCGGTAGTAAAATACCTAAGGGAAGAATCTATAGGATGGGTCCAGCCGAGTTGGACAAACTTCGGCGGCAACAGAAAGAGCTCACAGAGAAGGGTTCTATTCGGCCTAGCACTTTCCCCTTTGGCTCACCAGTATTGTTTGTTCCAAAGAAAGGGGGAACACTAAGGATGTGCATTGATTATAGAGGCCTCAATGCCATCACCGTTAAGAACGCAGAGCCTCTACCACGCATCGACGACCTATTGGATAGGGTGCAGGGGTGTAAGTACTATACAAAGATAGACTTAAAATCCGGCTACCATCAGATTGCCATAAGACCAGAGGACCAGCACAAAACCGCATTTCAGACCAGGTACGGTCTGTACGAGTTTGTGGTGATGCCCTTTGGCCTTTGCAATGCGCCGGGTACATTCCAACACGCAATGAATAGGATCTTCCATGACTACTTGGACAAGTTTGTTGTCGTGTACCTCGACGACATACTTATCTTCAGTAGATCTGTCGAGGAGCATGCTCAGCATGCAGACACTGTACTTTCACTCCTTTGACAGCACAAGTATAAGATAAACGTCGAGAAATGCAAGTTTGGTCGCACTCGAATCTTGTACTTGGGTCATGAAGTATCCGCGGATGGGATTAGGCCCGAAGATGCTAAAGTGGCTAGCATACGTGACTGGCCACGACCCCGGTCTGTGACTGAGGTCAGATCATTCTTGGGAATGTGTGGTTATTACCGCAATTTCGTAAAGAATTATAGCACGATCACATCTCCCTTGACTGATCTAACTCGACTTGATACACCATGGGACTGAACCGACGAGTGTGAGGCAGTTTTCAAGCGTTTGAAGCATGCTCTCACGCATCATGAGGTTCTCATGGTACCCGACCCGCAAAGGCTATTTGTTGTAACCACTGACGCAAGCCAATATGGGATTGGTGCAGTGTTGGCTCAACAGGAAGGGAAGAAGTTGAGACCGATTGAGTACATGAGCAAAAAGATGTCATCAAAGAAGTTGGCAAAGTCCACCTACGAGAGGGAACTCTACGCTCCTTACAAGGCACTTGTCCACTGGAGGCACTATCTGTTAGGAAGGTTCTTCTATTTGAGAACTGACCATCAGAACCTCAAGTGGATCAAGACTCAACCAGTTCTCTTCGATGCACTCAAACGCTGGATTGAAGTCATAGATCAATATGACTTCAAACTAGACTATTTGAAAGGAGAGTACAACAAGGTTGCAGATGCGTTGTCTAGGAGGGTAGATTACCTAGGTGCGCTGATTTCTGAGTTTGGTTTGTCTGAGGACGTGACTCGATCATTGGGGGAAGCCTACAAGGACGATCCCATCACGATGGACATCATTAACAAACTTCAGGCCTACGACAAGGCCACCTCTGACGAGTTTGTGATGGTGGATGAATTACTCTTTCATGTGAAGGCAGGGTTCAAAAGGTTAGTTGTTCCATCTAAGGAAACTTTGCGTAGTTTATTTTTAGGTGAGTGCCACCATGCAACAGCACATTTCGGCTATAAGAAGACGAGTGCTAATCTAGTACAACGATTCTGGTGGCCTAACATGCTTGACGATGTGAAGAAGTGCGTGGAGACCTGTCAGGTCTGCCAGCGGAACAAGCCGCGAACTGAAGCTCCGCTTGGGTTACTCAAGCCTTTACCTATTCCTGCTGGTCCAGGTCAGAGCATCACCATGGACTTCATGGATACTCTCGTGACCAGCAAGAATGGCAAGAGGCACATCTTTGTCATAGTAGATAGGTTCGCTAAGTACGCTAGACTAATCGCCATGCCAGAGACTGCCAGGACTGAGCACGTCATCAAGTTGTTCATGGACAACTGGGTGCGTGACTTTGGACTCCCAAAGGCGCTCGTTAGTGACAGAGATGTGAGATTCACAAGCGAGATGTGGAAGAAAGCCGCTGAACAGATGGGCAGCCAGCTTCAGATGACTTCTGGGAATCATCCCAAGGCAAATGGGCAGGCTGAACAGATGAACCGAGTGGTGCAGCATCTGCTGAGGCATTACATCAAGCCCAGCCAGGATGACTGGAATGAGAAATTACCTCTCATCGCCAGCCTGTACAATAATGTTGTACACAGCACCACCGACGTCAGTCCTAATCAACTGCATCTGGGATGGAAGCCTAGATCTGCTCTAGACTTCCTCCTGCCTGAAAACCGAACTGCTACAACTCGTGGAACCATTGAATTTGGTGTCCAGTATGAGAAATTGTTGCAGCAGACTGTCGAACACATCAAGAAATCTCAAGAAGCCATGATTGCTTCTGAGAACAAGCATCGCCGACAGTCCACATTTCAGGTAGGGGAACGTGTCTGGGTCAAGTCTAGTGAATTGGGACAGGAGTTTGGCATCTCTAGGAAACTAATGCCTCAGTATTTCGGTGCCTGGGAAGTCCTAGACATTGTGGGGAATGATTTGGATGGTCCCTCGTACGTCATTCGTATCCCTGGTCACTTACGCACTTACCCTGTTTTTCACGCCTTCAAGCTTGCACCTTTCACTGAGACAGCACAGTTCCCATCACGGAGATCTATGCTGCCCCCAACCATGGATGGCCACGTGGACGTCGACGACATCCTGGATCACAGAGACACGCCTGTTCCTAAGCCACCAGGCAGGGGAAGACCTCCCAAACCTGCCAGGGAATATAGAGTTCATTTTAGGCATCATACGGATCCGAAGGAAGATCGATGGATTTCCAGGGAGGAACTTGTCAAGACAGCTCCTCAGATTGTGGCAGATTATGAGAAGAAACTGAAAGGGAAGGCACCAGCATGAAGCATCTCAGCGGACTTTTGAAGCTAAGGGGGATGGAATGTGAGGAACAAGCCCTCAAGGGGCCATATCAGACATCACATTGTTCTGGGCTAAGGCCCCCAACAAGCCAAGTGCCCACCCTAAGTGAAGGCGGGCCTGAATATTCGTCAAAGGCAAAATTCGACATTTCCATATGTGGGTATTCAGGCTCTAGCAGCACGCCAGTTGGTTGGGAAGATGCGTGAGCCTCACATTGCTGCGTCATACAGTTGGCCCAGGCCATTACAGTTGCGCCTGGGCACATACACACAAAGCAGGGCCGATACATTGAGAG